TTTAAATAAAAAAAAGAAAGAAAAACGAAATTCATTTATTATTACTTTTCATTTTAATAAATTATCAATTATTTTATTATTATCATAAATATTGAACAAATCATAATTTATTAATTTATAAATTTTTTACATCATAAAAGATAGAAAATAATCACATAATAAAATCATTCATTAATTATAGATACATTAGCATCAATGGCTGCTACAACATCAACTGGTACAATCGGTGCTAATAGTAGCGGTCAACAAATATCACGTGTTGTACATCTTCGAAATATACCATCTGATATGACTGATCTAGAATTAGTCCATTTTTGTATGCCTTATGGAAAACTTGTTAATTATTTATTACTTAAAGGAAGAAATCAGGTTTGTTCATTAAATAATTAATTATAAATTAGCATTTCTTCCTTTTTTCTTTTTTTTTTTCTAGTTATTTTATTTTAACGACATTTAAACAAAAAAAAGGGGGGAAGGAAAAAAGAAGTGATGATGATAATTAAATAAAAAAAAGAGGAAAAAAAGTGATAATGATAATTATCATTTAAATATCAACTGTTACAAAAAGGCTTTAATGATAGATAATAAATATTACATATGATAGGTACATTTTTTTTTGAAATATACCAAAGTGATAAAATTATAATTTCAATTATCAATAATTTTTTTTTTATAGAGATATTGATTTCTAGTGATAATCAATTATCAGTTCTAATCAATCAATTTATCATATCCACTTCTTTTTAAGGCATTTGTGGAATATGAGGATGAACGAAGTGCCCAAACTTTGGTAACTGTTAATATAGCATGTCCAGTAGCTATCCGTGATAGGTATCAAATAATTTCATATCATTTTTTCTTTTTTTTTAAATACTTAATTAATCTTGTAGATATATCTCTTGATATATTTTAAAATTTTCAACTTTCTAAAATTTCAAATTTCAGAAGAAAAAAAAAAACAAAACAAAAAATACTATTTATACTACAAAAATACTATTTTATACTACAAAAAATACTATTTTGATAAAAAAAAAACGGAAACAAAGCATTAATTTGATTAAAAAGTTGAGGTTTTTTAATATTAAAAAAAATTTTTAATTAAAAAAAATTAATTATGAAATTTTTCGAATGAATTATTTGTAATTCCTCAAAAATTTATCACATCATTCAAATTAACGAATATTTCTTTCATTTCAGGACAATATTTTGTCAATTTTCAACTCATCAAGAATTAAAAACAAATCATCACCTTCGTGCTGATAGTAATCGTTCCAATCTTATCATTGATCACGATGATAATGAGGTTTGCTTATTTTGTATTTGCAAAAAAAAAAAAAAAAAATTCTATAAAATGTATGCAAATAACAATGAAATTATATGTTATTAAGGTTAAGGTATAAATTCTATGAGCATTTAATTAGTTTTTAATTTAGTTTTTACCAATTTATTCAATCTACTAACAATCAATTGTACTAATGAAAGTTTACTTTTAGTTTTATTATGCCAAAAAAAAAAAAACGAAAAAACATTTTAGTAAGATTAAATTAACTATAAAAAGTAGCCATAAATGAAAAAAAAAAGAAAAAAAAACAAATTTACTTAATGATTAGTAAAGATGATCTTATTTGGTTTTAGAAAT